GGTTCCGTAACGAAAACGAGCAAAAAAAAAATCACGTTTGTTGTGTGGCGTGGGTCTTTGCCCTGAAATATTTGTTTAATTTTAAATTTTATTATTTATTTTTGAATTTACTAAAGAAATACATATTCTGTAAATATTTCAAGCGTAATACCTGTTGTCGTTATTAAAATCGAGCAAAACAAGCAAAAAAATCAAGTCTGTTGTATGGGCGCCCCTTTAAATATCTACTTTTTTCTGGTTATTTGTATTTGTTGTTGAAACAGCAACAGAAATACATCATCTGTGAACATTTTAACTGTCTTACTTTTGCGGTTCATGAGATGCAGCCTGATGACTGACAGACAATACCAATAAGGCTACTAACATCTAGATTGTCATTCAAAAAATATATTAAAACGAATCTACTTGATATGCAAAAATTGGGAATTAACTCCAGCCGACGCATGATGACGGTTGCTAGTGTTGCTAGTGCTATCTGCCTATAAATAGGGACAATTTGGTAAAATAAACAAAAATATTCTCTTTATATTATGATGTTTATTAATTTTATATAATTATGTGTACGTTTTTTCATGCTCGACATATGTAATCTGTGATAGTGACAGTCAATATTTTAAATATTTATTATTCTCACAATTTAAATTTTGCAATTTTTGATTAATTTAATGAATTATTATATTCCATTATAATACTTGTGATTGAATGCAATTTTTAATCAGACTATCATATCAAAGTGAAGCTATAGTTTGAGATCGTGCTAGCACTCTGGGTAAAGGCCGAAAATCAGCGCTTTGCTCCTTGAGCAAAGGAATCGTTGAGCTTTTACCCTTTTGCATTGTTGTGGCGCACACGTTAAAGCGGATTTTTTTATTGTAATAGAATTTTATAATGCATGTGTGCTATTTTAATAATGCAAATAAATGAATTATCTATCTAGACAGCGAAGACTTTACGGAACCCTAAAATGGAGTTATATGGTGGACTCCCACAAACCACAGAATTCCTATAACTTGATATGAATTCAGAATCCAAACAAATCGCTCTGAAGTTAACCGAAGTTAAAGCGAGTTACTCGTTAAATACGCTGATTTTTTGTGAAGTTTCTCTTTTATCTTCGCTAGCGTTCGCGTGCAATATATAAATCCATTTATATAAAAAAATGTGATAGATATCAAAGTCTATTTTTGTATATATTTTTTTATCGTTAAAATGAAATATAGTTGTTTTAAGTAATTTATTATAAGTATGTTTAATTTTCATAAAATTGTTTTTATTTGGAAATATATTAGCATAGCCTTAGAATAAATTTGCTTTAAAAAGTGGTTATCTCGTACAACCTAACTTTAATTGATACTAACAAACAATCAGGCTATAACTTACACTTGCGGGAAAACAGCTAGTATATTGAATGTAGGGGAAACCCGAAAAGCCAACACCCAAATCAAAGTCAATACTCGTTCAAAACGATGTACCTAAGCACGACTATCATATACCACAAGGTCTAGTGTAAGCAAACAGAACTTTATAGGGGTATAAACGCACATCTTTTGCAAAAAATTAAAAATATGAAATTTATGATTTGTTACAATATTTCAGAATACACATTACCGTGATTACTTAGTATCCTTACTTCTTTTAGTTTGATTAAATGTATCAAAAGTGTATGTTTACTTATGCATATACTTCTGAGCTTTGTTGGGATAATCTACTTATTTTGGTCTTAGGGCAAAGTGACTGTTGCAAAATTTACCACATAAAATAAGAAAAAATATGATCTAAATATTTTTGTAAATGATAATGTGCTAAAATCATTAAACAACCATTTACACTAATCTTAAGTAATTGTTTAGTATACAGAAATATATATATTTACATACTGTAATGACTGCTACAATTTTTTCATATATTCTTCATAATTTTGCTTCATAAATTTTCCGATAAAATATATACACGCTTTTCTCTATAACATTTCTTTTAATTTTTTTCGTGAAATTGAATATTGATTCATATGCAGTGATTATTTTATTTCTATGTCTGTCAGTGTTCATTCCACAATCTTTCAGCATCATTAACAATTATAATTTGATAGATGTGACTTGATTTGCCATTGGCTGTACCTACTTAAACGCATCCTTTTTATGTTTTAATTAATAAAAAACTTTGGCATAACGTCTGCCTGGAAGTGTATTATTATATTTTGACCTATATTTAGTCGATAACAGCGGTTTAAATAAATATGTTCATAGTACTCATCTTTTCCAAGTGATCTTATATTATATTCAGGCAAGGAGGCTTATTAGTGCCTACTCTCGTGTGTCGTCGTAGGGTTGTCTATACTAATATTATGAAGAGGTAATGTTCTAACTTTATTTGTTTGTAATCTTCGGAAATATCGATCTAACCATGAAAATTCTTTTACCTTCAGGGCACTTCATAATATGCAGTTGACATAGGCTATAATATACTCGGGCGAAGCCGCGGGGAAACAGTATTATATATTTAAACAAATTTAATATCAACTAAGTGGAAACGTGAAAATGGTCCGGTGAAAATTTTTAACATAATATCTTGTGAGCTTTTCGGAACGAAGCTTCTTCCCGATTTCAACATCTTTATTTATAACAACCTAAAAGAAAAATTCTTAACGCCAATAATGTCGGAAAGAAGAACGAAATATTATCGCGGACTACTTAGAAAGTATTCTTTTATAAATAGAATTTATTTAAGCTTTCACAAAAAAAATCAGCTCATATTTTATGTCATCGCATCTTTTTTTAATTATCTGAAAAACATATGATGATTTGTGTTTGGTGTCGAAATGCTTGTAAATATTATTCATGTACATGGAGGTGTCAGTTAATAGCAGCAAGCAATGTAAGTGGCGAAAAGGAAGCTAATACTAACAGACAGTATAATAATACTTCTTTGATCTATCATAAATGAAAAACAAAGCCATCCGCAAACATCTTACCAAGTTCTTGTTCTAATATGCCAGCGGCATTATCCTTGTGCGCTGTACTTGTTGATGTACCAGGACTCTCGCCATCTGTACAAATTACATTTAAAATAACCCGATTTCCTAATCACATCTAGTATTTTCCCGAGTATTCATAATAAACATATTTTGCGATTCTGGTCCGCATTCTTTTTCCATCCCAGTTGATTGGTTTTGCTATTTAATGAAATCCAGCGACGTGTTTTGGTGGTTTTCGAATATTATTCATTATATGATGATATATGTCATTACCATATGATTATGACTAAATAGACCATTCAAAGAAATTAACACGTGTCGCATTAGTCCCAACACGGCGCTTTTAGACCTCCAGATTCAACAAAAGAGGTAATTTTTGGAGTTTTAATTCCTACCAATTTTGCTTTTAATTTTAACAGTCGTTCAGGATTTTTTCAAATATTGTTTTGAAATAAGAATACCGATTGAAAAATAATATGTCATTAATATATGTAAAAACACAAAACATAGTGCACATAGTAAAGTGTAATGTGTCTGAAGTAATAAGAGGAAGATATAGAAAATGAAGAAATGGGAAGATTCGGAAAATTTAAAGGAAAAGCAAAAAGTAAAGATATTATAGCGGTTGTAATTCTATTGTTTTATCTTTTTAAAAACTTATATAGTGTCAAGAAACTTGTCAAACGCAGCACAGGAAGACCTCTTCTTAAGATATATATAAGCCTTTAAGATGTTATTTATTCATTTTAAGTTAATGCCAACCTAAATTTTTATGAAGAAAAATCAAATCTTTTATGTAACCACAACAAGATAGCTTGTAGCAGGAATTGGAATAAAAATACGCCTGTGGCGTTTGATGCTCTGCCAGATAATTGACTATTAGCGCAACCATCGATTTATTGTTACGGGACGCTACACTTGCTGGCACCCATGATCAGGTGATTTCATTGATTGACATCGGAATTATTATAATTATAATATATCACTACGAATTGTAATTCGATTTGTCTATTTTATAAATAAAAACAATGATTCATACTTATTTAAATGAATTGTTACTATATTTTTCTATTTTTGCATCGATAAACACTATGTAAGTATATAGATGCTCAAATTTTGAATTTATTTTGAGATGAGAACGTGATGTCAACCATTTGTTTAAGTTAATTTCAGCAGCAATTGGGGCTATTTATTCTGTATACAGGTGAGAGGCGAGTGATTGGCCTCTGTCCAGACTGTAGCAACCGCATTTCACTCCTACGCAGCATCATAGCCCTGGGTATAAACAAATACGCACAAATTTTTATGATTGTTATTACCTTACTGTCTCATTTTGCGCATAATGAATTTAAACAACGCCATTGTACGTCAGTTCGTAAATAATATCGTAATTCAGAACAAAAAACTGTATTGTGATATTCAGTAACATCACACGTCAACGGAATAACATTTTCGTCGACTCTATCTAGATTTGTTTAATAATATTGATGATCAAATATTATGTTTATCTAACAGGATTTTTTATCTTGTGATTTGAAATATTTTTACACGTGCAGCTAATAATATCCGTTACAGACGATAGGTAGCCAATAAAACATAGCTTTATTTTGAGCGGGACGTCTGACGTATCTGTGACGCTGATGTTTCCGATACATTCCGTATAATAGATATGGCCTCCAATGTTAGGCTAAGTACTTTTGAACTATATACCCACCTCTTCTGGACGAGTTTCGAGACGCCAAGGCTTCAACCAGGAGTCGCTGATTCACACCGCACAAATTCGCAGTCAATTTTTCGCACTTGCGATGGCAGTTTACATCACAGTCTAAAACAAAGATCATCATGTCTCGCATCTTGAGACAAGGGTGTTTAAATTGATCCCTTCAGATTTAACCGCTTTAAGCCGTGCAAAAGCAACGTGCATTCGAAAAACGCTGTACATATTAGTGGAAAATTAGTGGTGGAAAAGTGGTGTTTGAGTTTGTGTTGACTGAGCATTAAATTTATCAGGTTTTAAAATATTTACCTTTCTTAATATGAACAAATCCTGCAGGCGAAGTGGGTGCTGATGAATCGAATCCCGAATCGTTAGATCCAGTGGAAGTTCTTCCATCTGTGTTATTTTCACATTCAAAGAATTCAGTCGATCCCTCACTAGCGTCTGATTCATCTGCATCTTCTTCATCTGAAGATTCTTCTTCCGATGACGATTCTGATGAACTGGATGAATGGATTACTTGTGGTACTTTCTTTTGAAGTGGCCTTGGTGTTGCAATCAACGGTCTAAGGGCAGGTTCATCTTTCACTGGCCTCCTTGGACTTGGGGTCGAAGGCAACTTTACTACTCCAACAGGAGAAGAATCAGCTTGTTCTTCTTGTATTTCGATGACAGGTATTTCCTCAGCCTTTTTATCCTCTCCTAGATTTACTGTATCGCCAATGTGTGGTTCTGGAATGATTTCTATATTTAATACAGGCTCAGTGTCTGCATTTGTGGTCTTGCTGATTTCTAATTTGTCAATACATGTTTCGTTTCCTATTTCTGGTAAACTGTTGATTGTCTTCTCAGCCTCTTTTGTTAAAATTTTGTTTTCTAATTTTATAGATAGAGATTTTTTTGTATTACTGATTTCTGTTACAGTACTTTTAGACTCATCGTTTGTAAGGGATTCAGTTTTACTAAATTGATTTGTCTTTAATAAGGATTTATCGACACTTGAAGATGATTTTGGTAGGGATGAATTTTTGGGTTCTTTTTTAGTAGCTTCCAATAGTTTTTGTGATTTAACATTGGCAACTTTCAAATTTTTTTTATCATGCGGTTGTGATTCCTTGTTGACTGTGAGACTGTTTGATTTTTCGAAGCTTTCTTTTCGAATCAATGAAACTTTCTTCGATGATTCTGGCGAAAATTTTAATTCGATATTTGGATTTTCAGGATTTTTAACTTCAGGTTTATCGACACTCTTATCTTGTATTAATTTTTCTAACTCTGAATTTTCTATCCTTAATTTATCATTGTGAATAATTTCTTTATTTTGAATTTGGTCATTAGCTAATAGCATCTTTTTATGCTTTTCATCCTCAACGACTTCGTTTGGTAAATTTTGATTCTCATTTTTTTCAATATTTTCTGTATCTTCTTGACTATCAGGTTTTATTGTATTAGAAAGAAAAATAAGCTTCTGAGAATTTTCATTAGGTGCTACACCATCAAGTTTAAGTAAATCTTCTTTTAAATTACTTTCAATTTGTGTTAAAGTATTAGTATTACTTTCTTTAAATTCCATATCTTGTTCTTGATTTAAATCTTCACTGAATTTGACCATTTTCTTTTCATCCTCTAATAATGAAGGTTTAGAAAATTCATCACTAATAATCGGTGACGTAGTCAATTCACCAGTTGTTTGCTTCATTTCAGTAAGTTGCATTTTCTTTTTCAATGGGTCATTAATATTTTTTTCTTCTGCGGTAATATTATCAGTAATTTGTATACTATTATCATCCAAAGATTTCATAGTTTCCGTTTTGACAACTCCTATATCTTGATCATTATCAGAAGATGAAGTACTCGAGTTTGTTTTTATTGCTTGTTGATTTTCATCGAACTTTTCTTCAAATTCGACCATATTTCTATTCATGTTGCCTTCGTCTTTTGATTCATATTCGTCTACAGGATTAAATTCTTCTTCTTCTGGAAACCAAAACAATGCTTTCTTTTGTTTTTCTTTGTTATCTTCTATATTTTGTCTTCGTTTTAATAAATAAACAGTTTCTCTTTTCCCGATTTTATCCCAAAAATTACCATCCTCTGGCTCAGGAGATGGTATTTCGTTGGGTAAAGATATACTTTTATGTTTTTTCTTTACACTTATTCGATTTACATCATTTCTTTGAAGCACTTTCGCATCATTAGTTTCCTCTATTTTATTTTCAGATATAGGATCACTAATAATAGTGCTATATGTTATTTCTTTTTTTGGCGTGTGTAATTTTTCCTCGACAGTTATATTTTCAACTTTAAATTTTAATGGGCTTTTAGGCGCTGTCACTTCTACTGACGAAGTAATCTTTGTTTTTGTTTTTTGCTTTGGTTTAGACTTATTCTCATTTTTAATGGAAGGCCGTCGTTCTTCGATCGAAGGCAAATCAGAACCAGATATAGTTTCTCGTGGAAACTCAGTGATAGAGTCCAGTCTACATATAGAACCTCCCGATAACGATTTTTTCAAACTTCGTCGTTTAGTTAACTGCCTCGAATCTTTGGAATATTTAAGACTATCGTGTAAGGAATGATCTGATTTGGTGGTCTGCAAAGGATTGTCGAAGTTATCGGATTTTCGTCTTTTAAGTGACTGTAAATTCTCTATTTTCTCTTTGATATCTTCATTAACACCAAATTTGCTTAAATCTAAACTAGTTGTACTTAAATTTTCTCTCTGGATTAAAGAATCTAGTAAGCTAGCTTGTTCCGCCAAAAGCTCCATTGAACATCGTCTATCGGGGGACTTGCTTAAATTATTAATTGCACAAGAAGGAGTTGCAGATATGCTTGTAGCGCTTTCTAATATTCTAGAAGAATCTTTAGTCATTTCATCTTCGTTGCCATCTCTTATTTTGAATTTTTCTACTAATTTAGTTCCTAATGATTTCTTTTCTTTTTTACCTTTATAAATTAAATCTTCAGATAATTTTTCTCTCCAACCTATGCTCTCTGATGGTTCTTCACCACGCTTGTCGGTTTCATTAGCTTGTGGCGTTTTATCGTTAGTTTTTTCTTGTTCTACCTCCTCGGACGTATTACGTGGTGAATCTCTTTCACGTCTTTTGATAGTATGAAGTCTCACTACAGTTCTTCCACGCTTTATTGTACTTCGCTGTAGACCAGGTGACGAGTCGATCCCAGTTTCAGGTTTTCCATCAACTCGTGGCATAAATGGACCATTATCTTTATTGTCATTTTCATTATCTTTTTTTGGAGAGGCCTTAGGACTTACCACAGGAACGTGTTCATGTTTGTGACGGTATCTATCCCTCGACACGTCAATATCTGCCGTGTTGATATTAATCGGTCGCGGAATGTAACCAGCTGCAGTACCATAAGTTCTTTTGGATATAGGCACTCTTCTCGGACTGTTTATACGGACCGGACTTCCAGTACTTCTCTCCGAAATCGTACTTAGAATCGGTGAATAATTCCTACCCGCAGTGGAGGTCCATCTCGACGGCAACGCTGAGCGAGTGTAGCCACCAAGTGAAGAATGGGTGCTATAGTTTCCTCCGGGATTAAGGTAAGGTGCACTGTACGACGTTCCAAGAGATGACACTGATCCATAACTGTATGGTAATCCGGTGTACGACGGTGACCCACTGTAATACATGTTCGATATATGCTCGGAATAGAGAGGCATGGTTTCACGACGCGACGTAGGCGCAACGACCGCCCTCGACACGGGTGCGCGCTGACTGCCGGCGGGCGCAGTGCGCGGGAGTGGCGTCCGCTCACGTCAGGCCGCCCGTCGCCCGCGCCCACCGTGCGCCCTATACAACCCGTCACGGGAACGCCAGGTGATCGATTGCCAATGATATATTAATAATTCAATTTAGTATAATTTATAATGTTTACTGCATGCAGTTAATTAGATGTACATAAAAATCTATAAACACACTAGATAAAATTCCAAATTTCAATTAGGATTACTATGATTTGCGACTTTGCGATCTGATTTTGTTAGAGCATGAATGTTTAATGTAACTTAAAAGATTTTTTATGTTTGTTAGTAATACGATAAGCAAAGAAGTATAAAATCTGCTTTATAAATCATTCTGCTGTATTATATTTATTACAGTGACATTTAACTTGTCTTATTTATAAATAAACTGCCGCTCTTAAACCGGTTCTATAAATAGAAAGTAAACGGAAACAAAGTTTTATATTGGAAAAATAGCCATAATAAACACTGTCATAGCATTTAAAAGCACAAGGTATTTTGAAACAAACAAAGCTAAATCATCATGCAAATAATATAAAACATGCACATATAGTTTTCGATACTTTTCATCTTCCGGAGAACACCAAAGCATGAATATCTAACAAAAAAATACCTATATGAGTACGAAAATTAACACAGATTCCAATTGAACTGCTTGATTCAGGCTGTTCATTCTTTCAACTATATCCTATCTATAAGAAATTACTCAAATTCTTGAACATGGCGTAAAAACACATTGTAGCGTCGACTTATCTAAAACAGCCGACACATTTTCATTTCATGCCTCTAAACACGTTACTAAGATTATTTTTAAAGAAAAACGGTATAAACATTCATCTAGGTACCCCGAGGTTCATATCCCATCCTGGGTTACGTGCAATTAATAAATCCTTAAAACATTTTTCTTTGGTCACATTACATTTTCTTTTTTATTATTGTAATTACTTATTATATATTGTATAAGCATTTTACATTAAGAATATTTCTCCAGCATAGCATCATGAAAGCAAAATTGATCAAATATAATACTTAGAACAAAATTTCATCTTTATCGAAAGTTTAAATATATGTAAAAATATTTATTTCAGACGTTTGAGTAGAATGCCTGAACATTAGTGAAAATACGCTCTGTATTAGCGAAAAAAAAATAAGAAGTGCTTTCAATCCTGTTTGGTTCTGAGTAACTGAGTGATTAGAGCAGTCGCTTGGATGGCGAAAGGTCATGCGTTCAAGTCCCATCTCAGAGTGCTAGGGAGAAAGTGGATTTTTCATTAAGAATATTTTTCAGTATATAGTATTGTGAATGTGAATTGATCAAATATAAGAATAAGTATCTAATGTTTTATATGATCTAACTAGAGGATAAAAAAGAATTTCGTTTTTATACCCAGGCATTATCACCATTCTTCTTACTCTTCGTTTCAGCAGCGGGGTATTATCTTCACATTCGAAAGTAGGGATGTGAGATTAATAGAAAATAATCGATTTAATAAAAATCGTTTTTTTTTTCTATTATTTAAAATCCTACATGCTTTGCATATTCCAATAATAAACCTAAAAGATTCATATTAACAATTAATCAGATTAAAAAAAAATAATATGAATAAAAAAATTGACAATTCAAAACTAAAAATCAAAGCAAATGTTCTTTTAAACTTTCAAGGTAAGGAATAATAAAACCAAATATCATTATTGATAGAAATTCTCAGTATCTTTAAACGTTATATAATAATAAAAATGAGCACCCCAACAAAATGACAACCTTATTGTCGCAAAAAATTTAATATAATAATAAAAAAAAAATCGTCATGAATGTAAATGTTTAGTTTTCGATAAATATCAACATACCTACAGATGGCGCCGTTTTTATATAATCAACTTTTAAGTAATAATGCTTCGAGTTTTTCATTTGGCGCATAGATGATGCTATTTATGAAAATCGATTTAAACGCGCTATTTAATTAATCGATTTGTTAAAAATCGATTAATATGACATGGAAAATCGATTATAAAAATCGATTATATTAAAATAATAATCAATTAAAATAAAAATCGATTATTTTTTAACATCCCTATTCGAAAGTCTTTTCTTCATTACAAGATGCTACTTGACACAACATGTAATTGTGCATCATAAATTTTACTCCGCCTATTTCAGAAATATAAGCCTTTTAAAGCGGGGGACGGATATTCTGAATGCGTTTCACATAAAACAAGCTTTATCTTACCTAACCTTTATGGTATACAATCCCAGAAAAAATCAGCGCCGTAGAATAACTACTTCAGTAGATGTGTAACGAATGTTAGAAGCGACTTTAAAATTCAAAATGCGTCATGAAAATGAAAAATGAAAATTCATGCATCGTAAGATTTTACTGGTTCTTCGAGCTCAATTAATAAATATGATAATCCATGAATCTGTTTTAATTTAATCGGATTAAATGAAAAAATAATCTTAGTCATGATTAGTGGCGTTCATTTTATATAGGTAACTAGATTACCTACTGTTCTAACTTTTTTGATGTTAAAGGGAATTGTTCAATTTTGGCTTTTCGTGGACAAGCTAATTAGTAAAAACTATGTAAACAGTAAAATATTATTAAAACTGAAAAAAATAATTTTAATACTCTCGTCATGGGAAATTAAACATTAAAAATATCAAATATAAAAGTATTTTTTGGATTCGGATATGTATTGTTAATATGTTTCACTGTGTTTCCATATCAATAAATGTTATTGAAGTACTATTACTAATAGTATCGATTAATCGATAAGTTTTAACTTTAATAAAAATGAAAGTAATTAAAGTATTTATATATTAATACATATACATTAGGTAATTTTTTGTAATATCATGTAATATATATATTAAAAACATAAGAAATAATCCTTTTCGGTTAGATATATAATTTAATTTACACAAACCATCGATTACTTTTTAATCGATTAGTAATTTTTATATGGCAGCACCATTTCACTTTTGTCAACAAAGACGTTTGAGTGATGATTCTTACATTTTGCTTTTGTTTTTTACTTTCGACCAATTTATTTATTAACTTCTCGGAATGATGACCCGGCTATACCTATGGACACCGAACCAAGCACAAGTAGTGGACATCGTCGGCAGCTTTGTATAAATTGTGAAAGATATATATTACGTACTACATCACATCTTCTGCAAAGAATATCTGTCAAAGAGACACATTAGAAATATAATTATTGATAGGATATCCCCACGACAGGTAGGATTATAGTTATTTTTATTTATTATGATTACTTTACCATAATTAAGCTTCCTTTATGACAAGTAAAATATTAATATATCGTTGCCATATCGTTTAAGTAACATTTTGTTGACAAATAATTTAATATTATATTATACTCTTTTAGGTGTATGGATCTGATCGCGTCTGTCATCCATGCTAGCAGCAAGCAGATATAATATAATATTCCGGAACCTATAGAGACCATTACTTTACCGGATTATAAAAGAGCACCTGATTCACAAGTATATTGTTTTGTTCCTGGTTGCGACTCACCACAGCGACTGACCGTTCCCACATGGCATCAGGTAAAATTGTTTATTATTTTTGCTTTATTATTGTAAAAATAGTGAAACTAGTTTGTGAGCTTTGTGCCTCTTATCCTTACTTATATTATAAACTAGAAAGATTTGATTGTTAGTTAAGCTTGTTAACAAACTCCGAAACTACAAGACTGATGTAAAAAATCCTTTTACTTAAGGGAAGCTACATCTTTCATCAGGATGATATAGGCTACTATTTACATGTGCGAAGGTGTGGGAATACTGTACCTGTAGTTCAACATTTAATGTTAATTCATTTTTTAGTAGTAATGTACGAATGTACTGGATAGGTGTTTTAAAATAGTTCTTTCTGTTAATAGGCGCAGACGTAAATGTGAGTCTACAGCCACTCCAAGCCGAAGAGTTGTTCTCGAGGGCAAGCACAAATTATGAGAATAGTTGTGTTTGACTGCAAGCACACGTCAGGAGCGGCCGTGGAAGATTTAACAATAAGGACACCATGTGACCAACTTATATAAATGTAGCTGCTTTATTGACCATCGAATGCCAGCCTCCAGCTGAAGACAAACTGTATGAGCAGTGTAACTTAATTATTAAGTGATTATGTAAAGTCCATTCTTATAAATAAGTGTATTTAGAAGTACTGTCTTTTGCTTGTAGAATTGTATTGTCAAATTAAAGGTAAATATGTGTTAATCTATAATTTCTTTATTTAACCATCTCTGCTTCTTATTTCTAACATAAAAAAAATAATATGATGATAATGTAATTAAAGTATTTTACAAAATATAAGTTTTTCTTTACACCGTTCATGGAATACTACACATGCTTATATATATACAATATTAAACTTTCCCATGAAAATATTATAATAGTTACTTTCCTTAAGATATGAAATATTGAAAAATAACGTTTTTTTTAACTATAGACAATGTCCACTCAAAGCCAAAGTGCCCATACAAACTGAACAATTCCCTTTCATAATATAGCTTTCCTAACATTGTCATCATTCAAGTTATGTGATCTTGGTGTATGTATTTATTATAATCGCGAATGAAAACATTTTTTACAGAGTCAGTAGACTGCATAGGTGTGTGATATATAACTAAAATACTTTTTAAAATAAAAGCTGCTAGTACTTTGCGCTACTTCAAAGGTGTAGGCTCACTGTAAATTTGTGGTAGTATCACAGTGTAAAGATTTCTATAGTATATTTAGTGAAAAATAGAGAGGGAGAGAGAGAGAGAGAGAGAAATAAAATAGTAACAAAAGTGTTTATATAATCGTTAAATTAAAAAATGAGAAATGAAAAACATTAAGCCTATTACAATTGGGTTAGTGTTTGCTATACAAACTGTTATCCTCTATTTCGATGCTCGTTCGCGATTACTATACTCATTAACATTAATTGGTATCAATTTAATGTATT